GAATTGTTACTCAGGGACACAGAATTGTTACTCAGGGACACAGAATTGTTACTCAGGGACACAGAATTGTTGTTACTCAGGGACAGACACAGAATTGTTACTGAGGGACACAGAATTGTTACTCAGGGACACAGAACAGAATTGTTACTCAGGGACACAGAATTGTTACTCAGGGACACAGAATTGTTACTCAGGGACACAGAATTGTTACTCAGGGACAGACACACAGAATTGTTACTCAGGGACACAGAAGGACACAGAATTGTTACTGAGGGACACAGAATTGTTACTGAGGGACACAGAATTGTTACAGGGGAGGGACACAGAATTGTTACTCAGGGACACAGAATTGTTACTCAGGGACACAGAATTGTTACTCAGACACAGGGAGGGACACAGAATTGTTACTCAGGGACACAGAATTGTTACTCAGGGACACAGAATTGTTACTCAGGGACACAGAATTGTTACTGAGGGACACAGAATTGTTACTCAGGGACACAGAATTGTTACTCAGGGACACAGAATTGTTACTCAGGGACACAGAATTGTTACTCAGGGACAGACACAGAATTGTTACTGAGGGGGACACAGAATTGTTACTGAGGGACACAGAATTGTTACTGAGGACACAGAATTGTTACTCAGGGACACAGAATTGTTACTCAGGGACACAGAATTGTTACTCAGGGACAGGGACACAGAATTGTTACTGAGGGACACAGAATTGTTACTCAGGGACACAGAATTGTTACTCAGGGACACAGAATTGTTACTCAGGGACACAGATGTTACTCAGGGACAGAACAGAATTGTTACTCAGAATTGGGACAGGGACACAGAATTGTTACTCAGGGACACAGAGAATTGTTACTCAGGGACACAGAATTGTTACTGAGGGACACAGAATTGTTACTGAGCCAGGGACACAGAATTGTTACTCAGGGACACAGAATTGTTACTCAGGGACAGACACAGAATTGTTACTCAGGGACACAGAATTGTTACTCAGGGACACAGAATTGTTACTCAGGGACAGACACAGAATTGTTACTCAGGGACACAGAAATTGTTACTCAGGGACACAGAATTGTTACTGAGGGACACAGAATTGTTACTGAGGGACACAGAATTGTTACTCAGGGACACAGAATTGTTACTCAGGGACACAATTGTTACTCAGGGGGACACAGAATTGTTACTCAGGGACACAGAATTGTTACTCAGGGACAGACACAGAATTGTTACTGAGGGACACACAGAATTGTTACTCAGGGACACAGAATTACTCAGGGACACAGAATTGTTACCCATCAGGGACACAGAATTGTTACTCAGGGACACAGAATTGTTACTCAGGGACACAGAATTGTTACTCAGGGACACAGAATTGTTACTCAGGGACACAGAATTGTTACTCAGGGACAGACACAGAATTGTTACTGAGGGACACAGAATTGTTACTGAGGGACACAGAATTGTTACTCAGGGACACAGAATTGTTACTCAGGGACAGGGACACAGAATTGTTACTCAGGGACACAGAATTGTTACTGAGGGACACAGAATTGTTACTGAGGGACAGGACACAGAATTGTTTACTCAGGGACACAGAATTGTTACAGGGACACAGAATTGTTACTCTGACTCAGGGACACAGAATTGTTACTTTCAGGGACAGACACAGAATTGTTACTGAGGGACACAGAATTGTCAGTTAGGGACAGGGAATTGTTACAGAATTGTTACTCAGGGACACAGAATTGTTACTCAGGGACACAGAACAGAACTGTTACTCAGGGGACACAGAATTGTTACTACTGAGGGACACAGAATTGTTACTCAGGGACACAGAATTGTTACTCAGGGACACAGAATTGTTACTCAGGGACACAGAATTGTTTACTCAGGGACACAGAAATTGTTACTCAGGGACACAGAATTGTTACTCAGGGACACAGAATTGTTACTCAGGGACACAGAATTGTTACTCAGGGACAGACACAGAATTGTTACTCAGGGACACAGAATTGTTACTGAGGGACACAGAATTGTTACTGCACATGGACACAGAATTGTTACTGCTGCCAGGACAGACACAGAATTGTTACCATGAGGCCAGGACACAGAATTGTTACCAGGGACACAGAATTGTTACTCAGGGGACACAGAATTGTTACTCAGGGACACACTGGTGGACTTCCATTGTTACTCAGGGACTGGACAGATTACGGGAATTGTCTACTGCCAGGGGACACAGAATTGTATTACCTCAGGCACACACAGAATTGTTGCTACAGGAGGGACACAGAATTGTTACTCAGGGGGTTACCTCAGGACCAGAATGTGTTACTCTCAGGGACACAGAACTGTACACAGGACATTGCTGCTGGACTCCATCTGCCACACTCTGCCATGTGCCACTTTCAGGTCTCCTCACACTGCTGGTGGGTTCCATTTTGTCATAGGGTGCTGGCAGATTACGGGCCTCCCATTGCTGCTGCCAGGCCCGTAATCTGCCATGGGCCCCAGTACCGCCTCCTCATGCTGCTGCCAGGTCCAGTAAGTCTCTCATGGGTCCCTGAACTGTACGGCCTCCCATTGCTGCTGTCTCCATCGCCACACTCTGCCATGTGCCACTTTCAGGTCTCCTCACACTGCTGGTGGGGGTTCCATTTTGTCATAGGGTGCTGGCAGATTACGGGCAGAATTTGCTGCAGGGCCAGGCCCGTAATCTAATCTGCCATGGGCCCCTGTACCGTACCGCCTCCTCATGCTGCTGCCAGGTCCAGAGTGTCTGTCATGGGTCCCTGTACGGCCTCCCATTGCTGCTGTCTCCATCGCCCCACACACTCTGCTGCCATGTGCCACTTTCAGGTCTCCTCACACACTGCTGGTGGGTTCCATTTTTTTGTCATAGGGTGCTGGCAGATTACGGGCCTCCCATTGCTGCTGCCAGGCCCGTAATCTGTCATGGGCCCCTGTACCCCGCCTCCTCATGCTGCTGCCAGGTCCAGAGTGTGTCATGGGTCCCTGTACGGCCTCCCATTGCTGCTGTCTCCATCGCCACACTCTGCCATGTGCCACTTTCAGGTCTCCTCACACTGCTGGTGGGTTCCATTTTGTCATAGGGTGCTGGCAGATTACGGGCCTCCCATTGCTGCTGCCAGGCCCGTAATCTGCCATGGGCCCCCCTGTACCCCTCCTCATGCTGCTGCCAGGTCCGTAATCTGTCAGAACCGCCTCCTCATGGGTCCCTGTACGGCCTCCCATTGCTGCTGTCTCCATCGCCACACTCTGCCATGTGCCACTTTCAGGTCTCCTCACACTGCTGGTGGGTTCCATTTTGTCATAGTGCTGGCAGATTACGGGCCTCCCATTGCTGCTGCCAGGCCCGTAATCTGCCATGGGCCCCCTGTACCCCCTCCTCCTCATGCTGCTGCCAGGTCCAGAGTGTGTCATGGGTCCCTGTACGGGCCTCCCATTGCTGCTGTCTCCATCGCCACACTCTGCCATGTGCCACTTTCAGGTCTCCTCACACTGCTGGTGGGTTCCATTTTGTCATAGGGTGCTGGCAGATTACGGGCCTCCCATTGCTGCTGCCAGGCCCGTAATCTGCCATGGCCCCCCTGTACCGCCTCCTCATGCTGCTGCTGCCAGGTCCAGAGTGTCTCATGGGTCCCCTGTACGGCCTCCCATTGCTGCTGTCTCCATCGCCACACTCTGCCATGTGCCACTTTCAGGTCTCTCACTCACACTGCTGGTGGGTTCCATTTTGTCATAGGGTGCTGGCAGATTACGGGCCTCCCATTGCTGCTGCCAGGCCCGTAATCTGCCATGGGCCCCTGTACCCCCGCCTCCTCATGCTGCTGCCAGGTCCAGAGAGTGTGTCATGGGTCCCTGTACGGCCTCCCATTGCTGCTGTCTCCATCGCCACACTCTGCCATGTGCCACTTTCAGGTCTCCTCACACTGCTGGTGTGGGTTCCATTTTGTCATAGGGTGCTGGCAGATTACGGGCCTCCCATTGCTGCTGCCAGGCCCGTAATCTGTCATGGCCCCCTGTGTACCCCGCCTCCTCATGCTGCTGCCAGGTCCAGAGTGTCTCATGGGTCCCTGTACGGCCCTCCCATTGCTGCTGTCTCCATCGCCACACACTCTGCCATGTGCCACTTTCAGGTCTCCTCACACTGCTGGTGGGTTCCATTTTGTCATAGGGTGCTGGCAGATTACGGGCCTCCCATTGCTGCTGCCAGGCCCGTAATCTGCCATGGGCCCCCGTACCGCCTCCTCATGCTGCTGCCAGGTCCAGAGTGTCTCATGGGTCCCTGTACGGCCTCCCATTGCTGCTGTCTCCACCACACTCTGCCATGTGCCACTTTCAGGTCTCCTCACACTGCTGGTGGGTTCCATTTTGTCATAGGGTGCTGGCAGATTACGGGCCTCCCATTGCTGCTGCCAGGCCCGTAATCTGCCATGGGCCCCTGTACCCCCCCCTCCTCATGCTGCTGCCAGGTCCAGAGTGTCTCATGGGTCCCTGTACGGCCTCCCATTGCTGCTGTCTCCATCGCCACACTCTGCCATGTGCCACTTTCAGGTCTCCTCACACTGCTGGTGGGTTCCATTTTGTCATAGGGTGCTGGCAGATTACGGGCCTCCCATTGCTGCTGCCAGGCCCGTAATCTGCCATGGGCCCCTGTACCGCCTCCTCATGCTGCTGCCAGGTCCAGAGTGTGTCATGGGTCCCTGTACGGCCTCCCATTGCTGCTGTCTCCATCGCCACACTCTGCCATGTGCCACTTTCAGGTCTCCTCACACTGCTGGTGGGTTCCATTTTGTCATAGGGTGCTGGCAGATTACGGGCCTCCCATTGCTGCTGCCAGGCCCGTAATCTGCCATGGGCCCCCTGTACCGCCTCCTCATGCTGCTGCCAGGTCCAGAGTCTGTCATGGGTCCCTGTACGGCCTCCCATTGCTGCTGTCTCCATCGCCACACTCTGCCATGTGCCACTTTCAGGTCTCCTCACACTGCTGGTGGGTTCCATTTTGTCATAGGGTGCTGGCAGATTACGGGCCTCCCATTGCTGCTGCCAGGCCCGTAATCTGCCATGGGCCCCTGTACCGCCTCCTCATGCTGCTGCCAGGTCCAGAGTAATCTGTCATGGGTCCCTGTACGGCCTCCCATTGCTGCTGTCTCCATCGCCACACTCTGCCATGTGCCACTTTCAGGTCTCCTCACACTGCTGGTGGGTTCCATTTTGTCATAGGGTGCTGGCAGATTACGGGGCCTCCCATTGCTGCTGCCAGGCCCGTAATCTGTCATGGGCCCCTGTACCCACCTCATGCCTCCTCATGCTGCTGCCAGGTCCAGAGTGTCTCATGGGTCCCTGTACGGCCTCCCATTGCTGCTGTCTCCATCGCCACACTCTGCCATGTGCCACTTTCAGGTCTCCTCACACTGCTGGTGGGTTCCATTTTGTCATAGGGTGCTGGCAGATTACGGGCCTCCCATTGCTGCTGCCAGGCCCGTAATCTGCCATGGGCCCCCGTACCGCCTCCTCATGCTGCTGCCAGGTCCAGAGTGTGTCATGGGTCCCTGTACGGGCCTCCCATTGCTGCTGTCTCCATCGCCACACTCTGCCATGTGCCACTTTCAGGTCTCCTCACACTGCTGGTGGGTTCCATTTTGTCATAGGGTGCTGGCAGATTACGGGCCTCCCATTGCTGCTGCCAGGCCCGTAATCTGCCATGGGCCCCCGTACCGACTCCTCATGCTGCTGCCAGGCCCGTAATCTGTCATGGGCCCCTGTACCGCTCCTCATGCTGCTGCCAGGTCCAGAGTGTGTCATGGGTCCCTGTACGGCCTCCCATTGCTGCTGTCTCCATCGCCACACTCTGCCATGTGCCACTTTCAGGTCTCCTCACACTGCTGGTGGGTTCCATTTTGTCATAGGGTGCTGGCAGATTACGGGCCTCCCATTGCTGCTGCCAGGCCCGTAATCTGCCATGGGCCCCGTACCGCCTCCTCATGCTGCTGCCAGGTCCAGAGTCTCTCATGGGTCCCTGTACGGCCTCCCATTGCTGCTGTCTCCATCGCCACACTCTGCCATGTGCCACTTTCAGGTCTCCTCTCACACTGCTGGTGGGTTCCATTTTGTCATAGGGTGCTGGCAGATTACGGGCCTCCCATTGCTGCTGCCAGGCCCGTAATCTGCCATGGGCCCCCGTACCGACTCCTCATGCTGCTGCCAGGCCCGTAATCTGTCATGGGCCCCTGTGCCTCCTCATGCTGCTGCCAGGTCCAGAGTGTGTCATGGGTCCCTGTACGGCCTCCCATTGCTGCTGTCTCCATCGCCACACTCTGCCATGTGCCACTTTCAGGTCTCCTCACACTGCTGGTGGGTTCCATTTTTTCATAGGGTGCTGTATGGCCTCCCATTGCTGCTGCCTCCGCCGCCACACTGTGGCTCCACACTCTGGTTTTGGCCCCGTGACTGCCCAAATGAGTGAAGTGTGCGGTGATTCTAAGATCGACGGCACTCATCTGCATGTCATACTGACTGACAGTATTATTTATTTTCCCCAGCAGACTCCAAGGGCATTTAAATTAAGGGTACAGTGTTCTGCACTAATATAAAGGCTCTCTGAAGCCTGGAAACACCCTTTTTATAAGTTAAATTCGCAGCAAATATATTCGCATCGAATCAAATTTATTCCTCGAATTCGCCGAATCAGCCGAATCGAATTTTTGAATACTTCGCTCATCTCTCAATGTTTAATTTAGCATAGTTTACTGCTAAGTTTTAGCCTACCTTTTTTCTAGGCTTTTCAGGTCTTCTCTAATCTAATTTTGCTGTTTGCTTCTGCCTGTTACTATGAAGGAAGTTCCAGTAATCAAAGGGGGAAGGACAATAACTGACTGTTTAAAGGTATGGTTTGGAAAGATGATCATTTTTGGGCACCTTTTCCAGGAGTGTTCTCTACCTTCAAGGCTTTTGTCTGGAAAGGATGCGTGTTTAGACTATCTTTCCACTTGGGCTGGCGCATGTTGGTAGAGGATCTACAGTTCTACAGGAACATGATACTTCTGCAGTTGTTAGAGCAGGGGCGGACTGATCATTTGGAAACTCGGGCACTGCCCGAGGGCCCGGGGTCAGTAGGGGGCCCCATGAGATGCCCCTGGTACCTTTTTTTCATAGGCTTTTTTGAGTTTGGGCAAGGACACAGGGGCCCCATGATCCCCTATTGCCCGGGGGCCCCATGAGTTGTCAGTCCGCCCCTGTGTTAGAGTGATATTGAAGATGATGAGGTCACCCTAGTCAGAAATACAGAATGGGATCACCAATACCTATAATGACCTTGTACTGCAGTATTACAGCCAGTGTGGTTGGGTACCTGCAAGGCTACAAAGAGGCTTTTACAAAGATGGGGGGATTGTTGTATTCTGTCAGCACTTACCCTTTCTATCACCTTTGATTGATGTGTTACAGCTGTCAGGAACAGCTGATAAATAGGTGAAAGTGAAGGGTTACCCACTTGAGTCATACTGGGTGTCATGAATTGAGCAAAATGGAGTGAACGGGACCCTATCCTGGCTACTACTGGATTTCTGATGAGCAGGGTCTATAGAATGGGTGACGTTCAAAAGGGGTCCCCAAGGGGAACATCCAGCCATCTATTTTGGTTTCAGGTGCTGGCTGATGGAGCTTATCAATGCTCCCAAGATGGAATGGATAAACAAGTCGACCAGACTCTAATGACATCATCCTTCACAATACGTTATTATTCCAGGATTAGATCACAAAAGAGTCCACCCAGACAAAACCTCATTCTCACGTTTCATCTAAAAATGGCTTAATCATAGTGAACGCTATGATAAAAGATGTAAGTATGTGCCCAGTTAAGTAACAGAGTTGGCAAACTGAGCATTCCAAGAGCAGATGTGCCAAGCTGTAAGAGTTCAGAGGAGAAGGGTTTGGCAAATAAAGCATACCTGGAATAAATGTTCCCAGCTGCGAGGGCTCAGAGGAGCTGAGTTTGGCAAAACATAACATACCAGGAACAGTGCCTGTGGTCAGGAGCAACAGATGAAAAGTACCAGGAACAGTGCCAGCTGCCAGGAAGGACAGAAACAATGTATTAGGAACAGTGCCAGTGGCCAGGAGTGTTAAGTGGAGTGTACTTGATGGAGTGGTCTTGGAGAGCAGGAGAGCAGGAACAGAAGAGGAGCATGGTGACAAGCTTGGGTAACATGTAGGGTTTGGTGAAGTATGGACAAAACATTGCACGGGGGTCTGTCCAGAGAGTGCACTAGCTCTTTAATGATGCATCAGATTGGACACGGCTAAGACACCTGGGGTAAAACCCAAAAGTGTGTAAGGACATGTGCTTTAGGAGATGTGCTGCTGGAAAGATGAAGGTAAGTAGCTGCTACACTGGGTATACCATTACATTGAAAACAAAAATGAATTAAATGAGTGTGTCCATTGATGTATAGTAAGTACAAAAATGTGCAGTTTATTTAGTCATTCATAAAGTTCTATATTAGTTCTGTTTATGACTTTTTAAAATTCTTTCTGTAATGCTCACATCCAAAAATTCAAAATAGAACTTAAACAGCACTCGTTTTGGTAGAGATTAGATGAAGCTAATCATGACCAGTCGTCTCAGCTGGATAATGATACAGCCAAGTCATTTTAGCACAATTTGCTCAGAATACTGTTAGCTTCTTTTAAATCATTATAGTTTTGCACTTATGAAAACTCAGTCAAAGATCATATGTCATTTTCATATTTCAGTATTTTTTAATGGCACCTTTTTTTTAAACCAATGCTTTTTAATTTAATTTTGGCAGAGTCCCTTATTTTTTAAATCCTTGCACACACAGCATTTTTTTCAGTTGCTACCGGCTATTAATTGTCAGAGAGGTGCTATACTGCCTAAGAAGTTCTGTATATGAGGCATAAATGAACATTCCTCCATTGTTGCTGCTGCCTAGGGTGGGCTTTGCCTCATACAGGAAATTTCTGCCATTCCATTGTGTTCAAAACACTGATTTCAGTCAACGCGTTCCCCATTTTGGCTTCATCAGGAAAGAAGAGGGAGATTGCAGTGGTAACACATAATGTACTGTTGTAACACATATGCACTTTCCTCCCTGGATGGGCACCAAGGCAACAAGCTGAACACTAGAAGGCCAAACTGAACAGGATGTTTCAGGATTTTTCTCCACAGATCACCATGTTGTAATAGTAGGAGAAAGTTGTGCATTGTATCTATATGGAGTATTATTTCTGTCGGGAATTAATTGCAGTTGAAATTTTATGTACTGTAGTGGTGCTGATCTTATGAATGATAACAGTTCTGGATTTGTTGTTAAGCTATAATTATGTGATAAATAATGTAACAGAATCTAATATATAGGTGAGCACTGGCAATATCTGGGGAGCAGCTAGCACACAAGGTGAAGGTAACAATCCCCTACAATCTACAATAGTATATGTAAGAAAGTGAAGTGCTAAAATATGCAACACATAAAAGTGCAAAAAACATTAGTAAATGCAAAATCTGAAAATCAAACAATATGGTAAAGTGCATCATAAATGTAATGAGCTGAGTGACACAGTAAAGTGCAATTGTCCGTGAAACCATGAGGCGCAGTATAATTAAGGTGCAGAGTGCATCCGTGAAAACTGGTAACAGACAATCAAACATTAAACATGTAAGAATGGAAGGTGGCTGTTGGGTGGAGCCGCCATATGCTGACGTCACGCCGCCGCTGCCAATGGTCAGAGCAGTGTCCATCTTGGTACACTTTTTATGCTTTTTGATTTCTGTCTCCAGTTGGATACTTTTTAATGTTCCAATACATACTACACTATATGCAAGTTTATTGGCTCCTGTGGTGAGCTATTCCCTCTAGGACAAGGGCTGACTTCCCATCCGAGTGCCCAGGACGAATTTGGTCCGATTTAACCCTTTGGACGCCTTCCATTTAATGCTTGATTGTCTGTTACCAATTTTCATCTGGTGAGTGTAAATCCAAGAGAGGTGGTGGATTCTTTTTGTGTGATCATCAGCACATTTGCACTCTGCACCTTAAGTATACTGCGCCTCATGGTTTCATGGACAATTGCTTCCATTTATGGATATTTGACTATATAAATAGCACATTTAACCATGGACATTGATGTAGAGTTTTATCCTATTTATATATCTCAGATTTTTTATGTTTATTGTAACATAAATTTCTACTGCACTTTACTTCACGGATCACCACGGACATTATTGTATTTAGATTGTGCCCGTGATACACTTTAATGTTTGGCATTTGCTTTTTGAGCTGTTTAGCTGATATTTTCATGCTTTTACTTGATGCACTTTACTGTTTCACTCAGCTCATTACACTTATAATGCACTTTATCATATTGTTTGATTTTTAGATTTTGCAAGTTTTTTGCACCTTTATGTGTCGCACTTTACCATTCCGCAATATATATATATATATATATATATTTTAGTGCTGCACTTTCTTACATGTAATAAAATATGTTATA